CATTCCTTACAATGCACAGTTTCGGTCGATTCTCTAACCTTCGGTATTAAGACGGTGATTTCCCAATTGAAAGATTTTGGAATAGGTAAGTACTCTATCTCAAGCACTGAAAAAGGAACCAAGTGCACAAAAGAGACTGGCACATGGCTATGCGCAATTAGTCAACCACCAGCGGAATGAGAGAGGTGTAGGGAAATAGGGTTCTAGAAGGGAATGATGAGAAAGGGCAGACAGCTTCGATGGAAGTTGAACCTAGTGTGGAAGAAAAATGGGGTTACGCCTATAAAAGTGGCGGGGTTAACCTTGGAAAAGATGAACTCTTAATGAAGATAAATAATTCGCTCGTATATGACGATGAGGTAATCTTGGAAAAATGATAAAATTGATTTTACTTCACACAGTATCTGGTTATACTTGATCAGGCCAGCATGAAAAGGATAAGTAAACCTAATTCATATATAAGTTTGAGAATGACGAAGTCGCATTTGATGTGAAGAAAATCCATACGAATCCATTATTCAAGGTTGCATTGCCAAGGCTGCATATAGAATTCCTTTGTTTAGCCGTCTGCGTCGAAGGCCCTTGAGACCTGTGACGCTCATTGGCGTTCAATATCATTAGGTGTCCAGTACCGCCTCCCATTACTTCCTATTTCCTCAATCCTAAGAGTTTGTACAGAGGTGCTCATCAACACATGCAATGCTTTGAGGCTTCTGCCGGTTTTTTAAATAAAGGTTATATACTTTTTCACCGAAAATTATGGAAAAATTAAATATATATATTTCTACAGACATGTGAACTCATCAGTTGGCTATTAATAATACCTTGAATATATGAAGAATGCGAATAATGGAGGTTTCAGAGACCTGACATTTGTAGGTGATTGAATCATTGTTTTTTGGTTCATGGATGTTTTCACTCAAGCTTTAGGTTGAACAAACCATCATTGTCATGTATCGAAATACCAGCTTCCATCAGCTGATTTGCAAATTTTCGATTCAAAGATGGGAATCAATTAAAGTAAAATCGGCCATGCTACTGCAAAGCAATATTTTGACAGGGCTGTTTCTACATAATGCATATCGTATGAAAGCAAGCAACCACAACAGGTACATTTAATAGTGAGACTGCTTTTATTTAGATAGATCATACAATAAAGGCTTTTGGATATCTACTTCCTTAATGCAATATCCATTGAATTCCATTGAAGCGCAGTGCACATTTTTTTCCTGAACTGTCATGTAATGTATCATGTATGGTCCTTCATATTTCCAGCTTCGCTTCCAGGGTGACAGCTGCTTCCATTCACATCCATTCATTAAGGTGTATTAGAGTAAGGATCTGTGCGCATTGAAATTATTCATGTGGGAAGCCTCAAGCAGGCCAATTTTGATTGATTCCAGCAACCGGCTCACTCGATGCTCATAAACACGGCTACTCAAGAGCTGTCGCTAGAAAGTACTCCCGTAATAACTAAATATTTCGACTGAGAGGTTTCTGGTGGGATGACATGCCTTCGTGCCGATGCTCGGATGCAGATATGCTTGCATGCTTTAAGAATCATCTTCGAAGGACTCTACCAATGTTGTTTTGAGTCTGAAGACCATAAATTGACAATTGAGAATTGCGCGCCCTCAAATTAATGGATGGTTTATGGGCAATCCTGTACGTACTTGAAAGATATGCAAGACAACTGGCAATATGCTAAGAGTTTGAAGGGGATGATCGATTTCCAGTCTATCTGATTCTTCACGAGCAGTACAGACAGACTGTTTCACCAGCATGCGCATATGTAGGCCTCGGCGATGAGAGTATGAAGTGTGGATGAAAACAAGCATTGAAAGTGGGAGGGACTGACATTGACGTGTCGAAAATATCCGCAGGAAGGAGGAGTTCTTTTATCGACTCCATGGTGGATCAGTAGGGACGAAGCTGCCTTGCCCATCCCAGCAGGTGAGACTCATTTCAATGTTTATTGCGCTTTACCTTGATTCCTTTCGCATGACTATGATCAACTTTTTATTATATCTTACACATTAACGGTATGCATGTAATGTCACACTTCATTATCTTTGATAATTGTCACGGAAAGAATGCTTGCGGAAAATTCCTCAATCAAACAGCTTTGAATGACAAATTGTTTATTCCTTGGATATATACGATACGAGCATGCATATCCGAAAGGTTATATTCTGTTCCAACGAAAGGTGAGTAAATTTCTCAACTTTCACTTCGGAAATATTTTCCCAAAGAATACATTAGAGGTGCATAACGCTTGGTATTCAAAATGTTACTTCGCGGCATCAGCAACCTACTGTTGTCTTGAACATGTCTTTCAATTTCCCACCAACAACTTTTGTTTCCTGATTATGGATTCAGCAGGCCCTTTAACCCCCGAACCTTTATAGTCCGAAGTATAGAATTCCCAGTTCCTAACACATCACTCTCCCACCTATCCACTCCACCTCTCACCTGTCGCTATCCTCATCTAACGGGCATGGAACGTCAAGCTCTGTCCTAGCCTTTTTTTGTTTATCTTCAAAATTGAATTAATTTGGAGACTAAAATCCTGTGTTGGCAACTGCTAAGCGGTGTCATTACAAATAATTTCACTTTTTCACTTCAGAAGAACAGCGAATGTTAGTAAATAAGGTAAACAAAGAAACAAAAAGAGATATTTCCTGGTATGCACACCGTAGGTACTGACTAATGCGAAGGTTTTCATCTGGAGCAAGGAATCATATGTTCTATCATTTTATATCCACGTAGATGAAAATATTAAACATGCTTAAATACTGTTGATTAGTTTTGTCAAATTCAGGCTTTAAAAAATGGCCAAGTTTTTGGATATAGGAAGGAAAATTATGAATGACATCGAAGCGCTTAATCCACGAGGAAAAACTAAACATAAAAAATTACTTGTTTTTGAATGGTTTATTAGTCTGGATGAAATTAAAATTTGGGAAGTTCGTCTGGAGAATGTAGACAACTATCCGACCCGTGGAAGACTTCCACGAACTCTTCGCCAAGAAATCCCGAGTTCATTCGAAGGCCCTAAAATTGAGGCTAAGCGTGTAGCATATTCGTACATTCACGAGCTGAGTCAGCGGCCTCATTAATGCTCTGCGCAGCAGCCGCTCTAACAATATACGTCTTGCGCACCGCCCTCTCTCTTATTCACGAGGGAGTTCACGCTTGCGATACGGACTCTTATCGAGCGGCACTTTTACCCTGGTTCGATCTCGACGATGTGCGTATCGTCGGTGAAGCCTATCTCCAACACTTTTCATGCTGGCCCATGAGTGAAATATACGCAAGAGAAATTGGATGGTTACTACGCGGCCGAAGGCGACTTTCTGATCCAAGGGTTCCTATTCCATATAGGTGGGTTCCCGCCGTTTTCAGCCTCTGGAGTCACTCTCTTTGTGAGAATACCGATCAATAAAAGGAAGGTGTTCCGATTGATAAAGGGGTCGAGATCCCGATAAATATACTCGTATATCCAATAGGATGACGAAATATACGATGATGAGATCTCATCTCGGCGAGGAAGTCATCCTTTCTTAAGTGATGGAAGGGAACTCCAAGTGTAATACGCGGGACTTTTACACGTCCCTGCTGAAACGTCCGTATCGGCCGCCCGGATCCGTATCGGGAGCGGGGGTTTGCGTAGAATGCATGTCTCCCGTTGTAGTGTCATGGATTGCATGGAATGGATCAACTGAACTGACTCGGTGGTATAGTGGAAAAATATTGGTCTATCAAACAGGAACTTCTGAGATCGATTCCTAGCCGCTCTATTGTTTTTCTTTTGTCATGCCATCTGAACTCTTCCTCCCCCCCCCCTTCCTGGGCTTTTACATTCTCTTGAATGGATCAGACTATAGAGAGTGTAGAAGTGGAAGGGCCTCCCCTATGGTGCGAGGTGCTGTACCCTTCCAGGCGTGGCCACTATCTCACTGAAGTCGCTCGAGTGAGGAGTGCATAGCAGGTACATGGGGGAGGGGAAAGGCAAAAGAGGGAATGTTCCCCGAGCTATATGCCAAGGGCCCTCCATACCAGGACCCAACCAACCACGCTATTCACTCCACGTGTGTGACCTTCCCAAGATGGCGAAAGCACTTGTAGCTCTCGAGGCAGCGAAGGCCTCTCAAGACATCTACAGTATATACACTCTATGGATCCGACAGTCACAATGGCCGGAGGGAAGGTGCGAGCTTTAGAGAGCGAGACAGACATCAGAAGCCGGACAGAAGGAGCAGCGCATGCGCACATGGCACAGCGGACATACAGACGCCCAAGCATAAGATATATATAAAAGGTGAAAATGGATTAAATTTGCTCCTGTCACAGCAGGTCAGGAATTATTTAATTCCTTCTTCGTGGTGAGCATCAAGTCAAGTGAAGTACGAAGGAGGAAATGATGAAGTATCTCCCACCTCAGAAATCTCAAGGTGAAAAGGAAATTGAACCATATTTTTTTTATTTCAGAAAAGCATGCAATACTGGAAAACTTCAACATTGTTCTTACAGGCCAGGTGAAGTCGAGGAAGATGCCTAACGTAATCAAGGCATTAGTGATGGTGGCATGTACAGTCTTCGGTCTCAGACAGGTAGGTTAATCTCGATTGTGTCCCCATAGTCTCAGATGAAGAGCATGGATAATAGTCGAACGTCGATCGACAGGTGTTACTCTTGGTTGTGGAATACCGGGCCTTTCCAACCGAGATGGTGCACGGGTCCTATTATATTAACGAGCTCCGGTCTCCGGCAATCACCATCTGCCCCAGACCGTCTATGAAAACGGATAGCCCATCCAGTAAAATATTCAAGAACGGTTCCGTCTCGGTCTTTGACATAGTAAAGCTGTTTCCCAGCAACCAAATCAACCCTCTGCCTTTGTTCCAGACGTCAACCATGAACGGGGAAACTATCAAAAGCTCTTCAAACGGTGAGCATTCACGTGATTTTGACTATACACAAGGGAACATTGGAGATATATGACCGTAATTGGATTCCCGGAAGGCGACGAGATATGGAAGGAGCGAACATTTTTTGACCAGAAGAACGGTGGGTACTATAAGTGCTTCACCTACTTGCGGAGATGGGAGCAGCTTCCCGGCCCGAGCGATTGTCAGCAGCGCTTCCTCCTCGATTTCGATGCTATCACGGATTCCAATAATCTCTCACAGGTGGGAATAAACATTTCCCGCCGGAAATACGGGGAAAATGGGCTTTTCAAATTTAAGAGAATGCTCTTCTTTCATGATCATAACACATCCAGATGGAGGTCTTTGTCCACGATCGGCGGGAGGATTTCACAAATTTGGGCCTGTTGAAACCCGAGCAGTTTGTCGTTGTCAGAAACACAATCACGAAACTTTTGATCCGTCCTGAAATCATTCAGAAACAAAGCAGAATGGAGAATCCGTGTACCATGGACGAGAGCTACAGTCAAACACGGGTGAGTTGAAGAAACAACTGAAATATAGAAATGCAGCTCTCAAAGTTGATGTTAGGTGTGAACGTCGTCCGCAGTGCTTGGAGAAGTGCTTCTGGGAAAGGATCCAGACCAACCCTAGTCTGCCGTGTCTGTTCCCATCCCTGATGCCGAAGGAAGTCAATTTGACGAAGCCAGAATGTCAAACGGCCTCTGCCGAGATTGAGCAATCACAAACATTGCGGAAATCCATGGGTGCGGTGATGGACCAACTGTGGAACTGCAACTGCCCTGAGAGATGCAGCGTCACTGACTATCACATATTAAGCGATCCAACTTCTGCCTGTCAAACGTCCGGCATTGAGAATGGGAAGGCGCTTCTGTTCTACAGATTCCCATCGAGTCGGGTTTGTCCTTGGCTATTCCCTCCCCTACTTCCCTCCTCTTTCGTATTCCCATTTAAAAAAAAAACTAACCGAATCTCTTCCTGAATGGCCTGATAGGTGCCGTATTCTCTGGAAATGGGGAAGTTGACCCTTCCTGATCTCGTGTGGAACGTCGGAGGAATCGTCAGCATCTATCTCGGTCTTTCTCTCATCATGTTATCCGACATCATCGAGCAGGGGTGCTTCAACTTCCCCTGTAGGGCATTCCGACGGGGAAATGAGATTCACGGCGAAAATGACTGATTCGATCATCCAGTCCTCTCATCCACACATGACTTTAACCCTTTACGTTCCTTCAATGCTCATAGTTGTTGTTTAACGCATTTTCCAAGAGCCAGAATCAGGAATATCATTTCTTAAAGTGAAAGAGACGGGGCGGATAGGGAGAGGATATGGCAATGGATTTGGTAAGCGTTTTCTCTTCTACCCCTCCCGTCGCCGCGACCAAATCGTGTGCTTTCCTAGAACAGGTTCAAGGAAATAATTTATTCACCAACCTACTTGAAAAGCAACCGTGAAGGAAGTGAATACAAACATCGATCGCCTAGTTAGATCAGCCTGCAATCATACACCATATGTGTGTCACCATGAGTCTTATTCAAGCCTTATGCACTGTGGAATTCTTAGGTGATCATTTATGACAATATACACTAATATGCCCTGTATGAAGTCATGCTGTAGCAGGTATGTGAGGCAGGTGACGAGGTAATGGATTTGAAAATAAAAATTTCCCAAAATGTCAGATGCTGAGGACATGAATTGTTCCGATAACAATGACCCTGTGCTTTCCCACTACTACTGTACATTGACTAATTGAAGGGAGAAGAATACCCGGAAGTAGTTCAGATGTCTCATGTCCTCTGATCAGACTGGAGCCACGGAGGTTTCATATCCACATAATTGAGAGAGAAATCTTTATTGGCGCAATTGGTTGATGAGAACATTGCGCTGGACCCGATATCAACAGACGAAGATTCCCTGCAGCAGGGAGTGCCTTTAGTTCCCTGTACCCAACCAGCATGTGCTTAATTATGTTTGACTCATGGCGTCTTGAGGGGTCATCTGCCCTTCGAGTTGTTCTCAGCTTGAAACCTAATAATCCTGAGAAAGCGACCGTACAAACAGAACCATGGAAACTAATTTGTTTACCCTTTCTTAGCACGATTTAATTGTATCTGTGTTGTGCACCTGTTTATTGTAATTAAAAATTGTGCGCATTCTACTGAAAATAAATGACGTTCACGCAATTAGTTCCTTATTATCCTCTTGACTAATTAACGCGTTCCATGCAGTATTCAATTATTATAATAATTAAGGAATTGTTCACCTTTTTCCATAGAATTTAGTAAATCTCTATGGTGACGCATCCAATTGCATCGAATGTTCTCCTATTTGAAGGAACGTAAATCTCGACTCGCATGGTAAGAATTTATAAAGGCCTTACACGTTGTTAGTGTTCATATGCTGAGTAGGAAATATTCCCTCGGTCGTTCTTCTCTGGATTTATTTTACTGCAAATCCGTTAAAGTCTTTCTTGGAACTTTCTTTTCTCTGTCAATTGACGAGGCCTTCTTTTTCTTAGAAGTTCAAGCACTTGAAATAATTCACTCCAACAACGAATGACGTGTCATCTCACTTCTGTCGTGGAAGTATTGTTTTTTCGAGCAACTGCCAGGTGGCGAGCCCCATAGTTAATTATCTTGCAACCCTTTTTTTGCATGGACTTTGTGGCCTGCAGGTGCCAAGTTCATGGATATTTACATTTCATAAGCAATTATCACAATTGAAATATGATGGAAACAATCCCGTCATGGGTGCCATTGAATCGCAAGATGTCGGAATCATCTTGTTAAAAGAGAATGCGGTAGCCTTTCCTGCCTCGGAGTGGAGCATGCCCTTGGAGAGGGGTGTGAGCCTGGACCGAAGGTCAGCGAGACCCCTTCTTCTTCTCCATTCTGTCTCTTCCGAGTCTAAATGCAGTCCCAAATTACAAAGGAATGTCAGGGGAGGGTGACTTAAAGACGAAATCAAATACGTGTTGAACAGAGACCTCAAGGTCACTAGACCAAGACGAATAGGGAATAGGGGGCAAGGGACTGCATCTCACCGCCGAAAATTGCAAATTTAATTTTTACGAGTCTCGAACGGCAAGACCGACTTCCTAATTTGAAATGCAATTCAATTGACATACAATTCAGTTCGGGTTTTGGATCGGGCATGGAACTCTACCACAACCATTCGGCACGACACAGGTCAACGACGAAAATACGCTCGCTTTGGGTCGGCATTGATTCATTACGACCTCGCTTTTCTTACTGCTTTTCCAGACCCTTTTCTGAACTTTCTTATAGCGTGATCTTCAATTTAATTTCCATCGGAGTCTTCTGATTAAACGGTCTCACCTGCTGCCAACCCTGCTGCCATACGTCAACTCACTGAAAATCCAAACGCTTATCTCAGTATTGTAAGGCCAAAGGTAGGCTCGGTTAGTCAAGGTTAAAATAAAGTTTCCATCGATCCGTGGAAAATCTTGAAGACAGTCCACTACGGACGACCCTTAATTACTTATGCTCAACATACCATTCGGGGCATGTTGCACCGACTCTGAAGATGTTCTGGGAGTCAAAATGTTCATCTTAATGCCCTTTTCTTTCTTTGCATTTCCCCAGTTGCTTATTCCTTACGTACGTTTACGCCACATGGTACAAGTCCTTTCGAGTGTTTAGATGAGGTAATGCTTTCGTGTCCTAGTTTCCCGGTACTTTCACTCTTGCATGTATTTCTCGCGGTCAAGCGGTCAACGAGGCGAAGAACGACGTCGGGTCCGGCAGGTAAGACGGTTTTCGAGTCATTCGATCACTCAGCCGACCTCCACCGTCCCCAGGCGGCCTCCAGCAACCGGCAACGCTGCTTCACCTCATCCTCTCGTCCAGGCTTCGGCGTGGGTGCTAGGGTATTACTCAAAATATCGTGTTCTTCCGTTAAATTTCATTCTACTCAACCATGCTTTTAATCCTTATATATGCAATTAGATTACCCAGCATTTCTTGCCATCTAAATCCAGACCGACCTCTGTGCAACAACATTTTTAAAATGAAATGTTGCACTTGGGCAGGAGAAGGGTCGACATGTGCCCCTCTGTTTCCGCTCATGACTGTAGGGAACCTCAATGGTCTCCACACACAACGATGGGAATCTACTTAGAGATATCCTACTAATCCATCAAGGTCACTTTGACCGCATTCACGTTCAACAAAAGTAGGAACGATTACTTTACTGCCTACTGCCTCATCCGCTTAACCTCTCGTCCAGGAAAATGACAGACTCCTCCGAACATCAATGCATTCATTTAAAAAAATATAATGAATACCTCAAGCACGAAGGGATGATTGATATCCGCTATGTCAAGCAGTTTGAGTTTTTCTTTGGTCGAACCCATAGCTAGATATGACAATAATGGGCAGACATATATATTCGTCAATTGAGACCATCAGGGCGGCAGAAGGGGCTTGCAGAAGGGACTTGTGGACTGATGACAAATAATGACAGAGTAAAAAACTAGCATTATGATGTCAATGCTCCAATCAAGGCTGGAAAACGCTCAACCATGCAAGGAAAGCCAAGCATAGCAGGCGAAAATGAGTGACGGGAAGGGAGAATCTCCCAAGGGCGCTACCAGACACCCGGGGCAATCGCCGCACTCTTTATGTTGAACCGGTTCGGTCGATTCTCTAACCTTTGGCAGTAAGACAGAGATTTCCTTCCCAGAAATATCCTGGCTTAATCAAGTACGTTATCACTGAAAAAGAAGTCAAGTGCGCAAAAGAGGCTGGCACGTAGATATGAGCAAATGTTGGACCGCCTGTCTTGGGGTTGACCTTGGGAAAGGTTAGCACTTGAAATTAAAGACTTATGACATTTGTACATGATGCTGAGGGAAGCTTATTATAAATTATGAATTTTATATATCATTATACATTAGGAAATTTATATATTATGAGTTGCGAAAGGAAACATTTTTTTCAGGCCAGCATCACCAAGGTATTTTGCATGCGTAGACATAATTCCCGTTTAAGAAAATTTTGTGAATTAGGTGAATGGATAAGTCGCATTCGAGGTGAAGAGAATCCATGGAAATCCATTTTTCAAGGATGGAAATTGCTGAGGCTTTATATAGAAATCCTTTGTTGGGCCGTCTGCGTCGATGGCGCGTGAGAACGGTGACACTCGACGGCGATCGATATCGTTAGGTGTTACAGTAGAGCCTCTCATTATTTTCCTCTATTTTAATCCCGAGTCCCATTCTGATAAGCAATGTGCCAAGAATTGTCAGCTTCTTAATAATGGGCATGCACTTTTCCGACGAAGATTATGCAAAGCAATGAAACATATGAGGAGTACCGGGCCATTTTAACCGAGACGGTGTGCGGGTCTTTTGATATCAACGAGCTCAGGTCTCCGGCAATCACCATCTGCCCCAAACCGTCTATGAAATCGATGATCTCATCCAGTGAAATATTCAAGAACGGTTCCGTCTCGCTCTTTGATATAGAGAACTAGCGAGTTTGTTTGCCCTTCGGGCAAGCAAACTCGCTATGGTCGCCTTCGGCGCTCCATTACTTTGGTTAGCGTCTAATTCATTTATTTTTTGCGAAATAGAAAACATGTATTTAAAGTACGTCCCATTGAAATACGTGGCATATGGGGTCGAAAGTCTTGATTTTGATCAAAATCAGTACTTCTATTACTTCTAGTATGCCGAACTTTCTTGTGTCCCTTTTATTATGGGTGGAAAATACATTTTGAAATACTTCCCTCTAATAATCTACGCTAAGGAGACATATTTCAAAAGTAGGATTTTTTCTGAACTCAGCCATTAAACAGGTACTACTGAAGGAATTTTAAATTTTGTGTCTGTTTTGTCGGATGAAAAAAAAACCCAGGAAAATGGGATTTAAAAAAAAAGAGCCCTGATGGGTTTTAGCGAAAAATAATTTTTCATCTGAAGTGGAGACTCAGGGAACTCCATGCCACCCAGTTTCAGCCTTATACGTTTCCCCTATTTGAATTAGCGTTAGTGAGTCAGTCGCGATCTTTAATATATATTAGAAAAGTAGAATTTTTTCTTTACACAGCTATCCATCAGGTACTTATATGCCAAGTTTTTTTTTTAACTTTCACGCGTCCTTTGTTTTGTTGGATCAGAAAATTCGTGAAAATACGCCTTTTTCAAAATATGTGTACTGAGCCGTTTTAACCGAAACATACAATTTTTTTCTTACTGAAATCCATCCTCAGTGAACAACATGCCCACAACGTTTCAATATTAGGCGTTTGCCCTTTTCGCTGGTGAAGAAACATGTTTGGAAAAGCTGACCCACCCAAAACCTAAGCTAGGAGGGGATACAGCCTGAAAAATTTTTTTTGGAGACCTGAAACTTCCTTCTGTCTCCGTGGCATGGCGTGAGTTTCCTGTAAAAAGTATGGCGTTCCTGAAAATAAATATCTTTCACACATTTAGTCCTATATTACCTTCATCATTAATTTACATGTTCTGTGGAGTATTCTATATTTATACAATTTAAGAATTATTCACTTTTTCGTGGCAGAGGGATTCGGAACATGAATGATGCAGACACATACGAGGAAAAATTAGCTGCCAGTACACCACAGATTAGAATAAAAAGAACATGATCAGAAATACATAGACTCTGGTAAGTTTACAGTGTTTCTATCACATTCAAAACTTCATTCGCATGATATTGCCGAAGAAATGCCCGGTAGACTGTTCCTACCGCCTGCTTCTCCACGAATTTTCGTAAAATGTACATTCGAATTCACATATACTGCATTCGAATCTACATTGATATCTGAACAAAATTACATTTTCAACTTCGAAGGGAACATCGATCAAGAGCTGCTGCCTCCAAGAGCGACGGGACTGTCATTAAGGCAAAGGAGTGCACGGAAAAATTTAATGTCTCTAATTCTTATAGTGCCACGACACAGAGTCGAAAACAAGCGTAGTGCAGTGTTGCCCCTTTCGTGTGCGCCTGAGTATATGCGGCACTCATAATGTCGCTATTGTATTATTAGCATAAAAATAAGGTAGTCCTGCAGTATGGGCGAGCAAAACTTTTTGTGCGCGCGATTGTGTCACTTCATGAAATTAATTCCAAATTATGTGAATCAGCCCGGCTTTTTTCAAACCTTTTAACGCTCCCATCTCCCAATAAGCCATGTATCAATATATCCTGGTCCACATTGAAATCCTCACCTAATGTGATAGATTCCGTAAAAAAAGTTTATGTTAAATCTATTGGAAGAAAAACAATTAGATTGAGAAAGTCATGGATTCGATCTGAGTTGATTCTCCATGCGAGAACTGGGAATTTACAATATACTTCCTATCTAATATACTGTATATAGAAGATAGTGACTGATTGACTGACGATAATTCTAACCATGTTCTAGAGGAGTTAGAAACCTGAAACTTGGTACACATGTACCTACTGGGATCCAGAGTTCAGAAAAATTCGACTTTGGAGGTTGATGCCCTAGGGGTACGCATTTTGGGGGGAGACGTTTTTAAAGATATATCAGATATATTGTAACGGACTAGGGTGGCATGGCAGAGACACCCGAAAACGTTGGTTTCGATGTTGTAGTGGTAACATACATGACAGGCACTCAGGAGGCTCGGGTTCAATTCCCGCCCTTTCCTTGGCGTATTTTTTGCCTCTTATTCCTTCCAAGTTGCGTTACTCCTTCCCCCTCCGTAACATTATTTTTTGCTTTAGTGAAACCGAGAGACATGGAAAACTGAAACTTGGCATGGACCAGACGATGAGTTAAAAAAATACATATATACAATTTAAGATCCATCCTTAATTGCCAATGATAATGATGGCGCTTATATCCACAAAGCCGAAAGTGAAGCAGATCATGCGGGTAATATCTGAACTTTATCATTTTGCAAAGACCGAATTTTCTACTCAACTGAGAGAATAACCGATTTTCCACCACCGCGAAATAGAGCAAAAGAAGTTGGGAGTCCCGTCAATGCCCTCTGAGAAGATGGGACACTACATGCTGTTGCACTGATGCACACTCTTGGACCGATTCTCGGTACCTCACTGGAAATTGACAATGGAAGGAAATCCTCATAAATGCGAGCCATTTCGTTCAAATGAAAAATGACGGTTAAGTGACGCATCTTACCTAATCGAACTCAGAACGCTTGGGATGATTAGCTTTCTATAAGCCGTCCATAGCGTCCATGACTCCCTGCAACTGTGTCAGGCTCACAGGTTGCGTACTTTCGAATTTCTGGAAGAACGATGAGAAGCTGCTCGTGCCCATTTTCCATGCCAGTCTATCGAAAGCACCATATTCGTCATCTCTCGATTGAGAAAAAAGGACGGAATTGTTAAACTTGAATACATGTTTGCATGGAAAATTTTCACATGCAAGGGCATTCAAGACTGGGGGTTTCTGGTTGTCAGCAAATGTAGTCAACACAAAACTATTTTCCTCGGCACAGTCTCCAAACACGGACAACATACGTTGAAATAAGTACTTCTGTGAGTCTGTGAGCCTGCTTTCTGGAGCCGGGATCACAAAGCCTATTCCATGGAGTGCCTTCACGCCAAAGTATTCACCATTCGAGAAGAACTCCTGAATCTGTTTCAACAACTCCTCATCTTTTTCCATTCCATCAGTATCGCCAAACCCGGGCGTATCAATGACAGTGAACGTGTAGGGAAGAGTCGATCCATTCTGCTTGGGTAGGACATATGCTGAGATCCACTTGGTCTGACTATGGGCTTCGGACATCTCACAACCTCCATCCACGACCATCTTTAGGCGAAAGTCGCTTTCCCATTTCACTCCGTAAGCATAGTTCACGAATGCATCAATGAGTTTAGTTTTCCCTAAATGGAGGAGATGCAGAAAGAATACAGCCAACCATCCATAAAAATGGCGAACGTGAAAATATACGAAGCGAATTTTAATTCATTGTGATTTGTGTGAAATAATTATGACTCAAATGCTCCATTGGAGTTCCGCAAGAGTTCACCAGTTCAAATTCAAAATTTATTTCCTGGGGTAAAACGACCGAGTACCGTGCTGGAAGCATTTCCCAACGTTTATTTTTGAGACTCCATGTGACAGGATTGCAAAATACGTGCAATATATCGTTCGCTCCGAAATTTTAGGAAGGACGGGATGGGAAATACATGTTGCCCGTAGTTACAAATGATATTCCAGTTCCTAAACATGCAAGGTTGATTTTGTAAGTAGTTACTCCCTGTTAAATGTGAATTACAGGCGTGCATGCGTTCAAGGGTCATTCTTTATTTTGGCACTGATTTGCATTACAATTTGGTATAATGTGGAAGGCACTTAGCTGAAACGTGTAGAACGGATGTGAAAATTTGAAATTCCCTAAACGGGTATTTGGTGATGGAAGCATTTCGTGGGGACATTTAGGCTGGACTAGCACCAGCAAAATAAGTTCATTATGCACCTGCCAGGACGTACCGCCCTTTCAGTGAACTAACCTCGGATAGCAAGCCGTTCAATGTGACACCAATATATTCATTGCATTGCATTCAGTGACCGTTTTTCCTTAAAAGGCAGCAGGACATGTCGCTTTCAGTATAGGAAGGCATATTTTGCTCCAAAAGCGAAAGATATAGGACATGAAAAAATATTTTCTGCTAATAATTCTCTCAGGGTAAGTCAACATGCGCCTTGTAGCCCATGCGTTTTGTATTGTATTTAATATTTAAGAGTTTTGATTCGGATAGAAATAAGGTGCAACTAATCATCAAGCTTAAGCATTTCGCCTAGTATGCCCGACAAATAAATCAGCATGTTACTGGCCAAATGGCAAGCTATGGCATTTTTTCGATTGTGACTTTAGCTAAATACATGAAAATAACAACGGACATGTGTTGCGTCCGCAGGAACTCCCCAATTATGTAAGTGAAGGAGGATGGCAAATATTAATCATCATTGGTGCATGCCGCTAGATATACCTGATACTTAATTTGAAACATTGGTTGAAATCAACCTTCACTTACTCGTGTTTCAGAAGTAGCTTGAAGAAAAATAAAATAATACCCCATCTGACTCCAGTTACACGTGCAGAAGCAACTAACCAAACTTCATGAAACTTAGCATGCTTGGATGCCGATCAATATACCAGGCAGGCGACAAATAATGATAATCAAGTAATACCAACCGTGTTTTGTTTCATAAGCTATTATAATATAAATTGATCTTAGAAATGTGTATCATGATCTTCATAGTCAAATGATGAGGGTAGAGGCGATGTCATGAGTTCTATTGCTTCACTTTACTCACATGCGCATAAAGAGAACCCCGAAGCTCAAGGCATACGTAATATGCGTCAGGTATTGAGGCGTACCTGCTCCAGTGGCTCCGACAAGCATTAATACCTTTCCTACATCATTGCCTTTTGGTTCTCCGTCGCCGATGAAGTACTTTGCAAGTCGAATCCGACCATCTTTCTTCATAATCTTTGGTGCAACTTCACGTATGAATCCATCGTCATTCTTTAAAATTTTCTTGGTATCCTGGGTATGACGAATCTCTGGCTTGCCGTTCCATGCATCATTGCCGTCCCGGGATGAGGTAACTTGCTATCAATAGAAACGAAAGAAAACGTCATCCCAAAATTGCATCGCATTTGCCTTTTTATTATCATAAAACAATGGAGGCATATTGTTTAAGAGAATGTAGGAGTGAGTACCAATACCTGATTCATCGATTTCTATCTTTTTAAATGTATTGATGAATCGCATATCATTCATCCATCCGTTGCGGTAGAAAGTTTCATTCATTATCGTTAAGGTTTTTCACGGAAACTCTCCAACCTTAATACTTTAATTAGAAGAGCCCGGAAGTTGTGGTGGTGGTGGTGGCTGTCAACCCAAAACCAGTCCACCTAGAAATTATGTCTAAAGAAACAATTTATGACATGGCACTTCAAATAACCTTCCAAAAGAAAAACGTTTCCAACACCCTTCACCACTTTCAAAAAGTCATTCCAGGATTGGAT